TGTATATTCCACTTGAGGCAGCCAACCCGGGGTCCCTCCCACATACCTATTGCTGAGAGAAGCCTCCTCTTGAGGTGCTTCTGGAAAGTTGGCATATGCCTTGAGCCTATGCCAGGGAATCAGCTCTCTTCTCGACATGATTTTGGGTACACCGTGCATTCCTCGAGTTGCTGTGCTCAAGTTGGTGTTCCTCTAGACTTGGGACAGTGTTCTCGGGGCATCTCTGGAGTTGCCTGAAGGAAGTCAAGCCACTGGTCGTGTTGAATGGGGAACTGGGGATGGCTCTGGAGTCAATGCAGGGGAATCTGGCATCATCTCTACTTGTTTTGGGGCACATGGAGCTGCTGTGCGTTGCTGGGTTGACTTCAGGGTCCGTCTAGACTGGTGATAGTGTTCTTGGGGACTGTCTCGAGATCCATTAAGCAAGTCGAAGCTCCTGACTTGTTTGATGGGGATCACGGAATAGCTCTGCATGCACTGCAGGGGAATGGGGCCTCATCTCGCCTCTAGGGGGAAGTCTCATGGTTTTTCTCGAGTTGCGGCGGGGACCTGGGGTAAGTTCTCGAGTTACGCCGGGGATGGCCCTTCAAAACACCTGTTTATTCAGTGACGTCAGGACTCCTGTCTAGTAACGAGGGACACCTCAGGAATCTCTTCGAGGCTTGGCAGGGCAAAAGGGACGCTTCTAGAGGTGAGGCAGGGCACCCAAGGACCCTTTCCAGTAGCCACAGGGATTTTGGGATTCCTATCAGTATTCAAGAGGAGTCAGGCATCGTCACCTTTTGAGGCAGTGAACTCTGCGTGCCTCTCGAGGTGTCCACGGGATGTGAGGCATTCCGTCAAAATGAGGCAGGGACCTAGGGCTTTCTCTATGGTCTCCACAGGGGATTCAGACATCCCTTCACGTTGATAGATGAAAGACGAGCCTGTATTCAAGCCACTGCAAGGAAATCCAGCCTCCTTTCAAGTTAGGGCTTCTCGCCATATATTCCACTTGAGGCAGCAAACTCCGGGTCCCTCCCACATACCTACTGCTGAGAGAAGCCTCCTCTTGAGGTGCTTCTGGAAGGTTGGCATACGTCTTGAGCCTAAGCGAGGGAAACAGCTCTCATCTCGAGACGATTTGGGGAACATGGTGCATTCCTCGAGTTCCTGTGCTGAAGGTGGTCTTCCTCCAGACATGGGACAGTGTTCTCGGGGCATCTCTGTTGTTGCCTGAAGGAAGTCAAGCCACTGGGCGTGTTGAATGTTGAACGGGGTTGGCTCTGGAGTCAATGCAGATGAATCGGGCCTCATCTCGATTTGATTTTTGGGCACAGGGAGCTGCTTTGCGTTGCTGGGGTGACCTCAGAGTCCGTCTAGACTGGTGACAGTGTTCTTGGGGACTGTCTCGGGTTCCATTAAGCAAGTCGAAGATCCTGACTTGTTTGATGGAGATTACTGAATAGCTCTGCATGCACTGCAGGGGAATGGGGCCTCATCTCGCCTCTAGGGGAAAGTCCCATGGTTTTTCTCAAGTTGCAGCGGGGACATGGTGTATGTTCTCGAGTTACATTGGGGATGGCCCTTCAAAACACCTGTTTATTCAGTGACGTCAGGAGTCTTGTCTAGTAACGAGGGACATCTCAGGAATCTCTTCGAGGCTTGGCAGGGCAAAAGGGACGCTTCTCGAGGTGAGGCAGGGCACCCAAGGACCCTTTCCTGTAGGCACAGGGTTTTTGGGATTCCTATCAGTATTCAAGAGGAGTCAGGCATTGTCACCTTTTGAGGCACTGAACTCCGAGTGCCTCTCGAGGTGTCCACAGGAAGTGAGGCATTCCGTCAAAATGAGGCAGGGACCTAGGGCTTTCTCTAAGGTCTCCACAGGGGATTCAGATATCCCTTCATGTTGTGAGATGAAAGACGAGCCTGTATTCAAGCCACTGCAAGGAAATCCGGCCTCTTTCAAGTTAGGGCTTCTCGCCATATATTCCACTTGAGGAAGCATAATCGGGGTCCCTTCCACATACCTACTGCTGAGAGCATCCTCCACTTGAGGTGCTTCTGGAAAGGTGGCATACGTCTTGAGCCTAAGCCAGGGAATCTGCTCTCATCTCGAAACGATTTGGGGTACACGGAGCATTCCTCGAGTTGCTGTGCTGAAGTTGGTGTTCCTCTAGACTTGGGACAGTGTTCTGGGGGCATCTCTGGAGTTGCCTTAAGGAAGTCAAGCCAATGGTCGTGTAGAATGGAGAACGGAAGATGGGTCTGGGGTCAATGCAGGGGAATCGAGCCTCATCTCGAGTTGATTTGGGGCACATGGAGCTGCTGTGCGTTGCTGGGTTGACCTCAGGGTCCGTCTAGACTGGTGATAGTGTTCTTGGGGACTGTCTCGAGATCCATTAAGCAAGTCGAAGCTCCTGACTTGTTCGATGGGGATCACGGAATAGCTCTGCATGCACTGCAGGGGAATGGGGCCTCATCTCGCCTCTAGGGGGAAGTCTCATGGTTTTTCTCGAGTTGCGGCGGGGACCTGGGCTATGTTCTCGAGTTACGCCGGGGATG